TAGGGCCGGGGCGCCCCTCGCGCGACAAAGTTTATAATAAAGATTATTTTTTGCGATAAGGCTGGCGCGACAATGTCCTTTATATAGCTTTGTCACGCGACAAAGGTTTGTAGCAAAGCCGGCGCGATAAAAGGTTGTAACAGAGGGAGAGTGGGGCGCCGCGATAATACGGGGTATTGACCCATCCCCATTTTTTGCTTACGAAAATAATATTTCTCGAAATTACGATACGAAAGAGTTCCGAGCGCTTTAAATCTAGATATTAAGAATTTATTTCTCGAAATCATAGCAGATTCCTATATCGAGCGTTGACTTCAAATTCATATAATAAAAAATATATATATATATATATATATCGAATCTTGGTATTCAAAACTTTCCAGATGAACGTGCCGAATAATAATCGCTATCATCAATTCAAAAATTACAATATTTATCTAAGAGGGATGACCTATAAAATAACAGATATATATCTCGTTCCGAATCTACCAAAATCGCCCGTATTCCAAGCGAAATCCAACCAATATCCGAAGAAATCTACCACGAAATCCAAGCCCGCCCAAATCAATTCTAAATCGCTCCCAGTCCTATTTCAAGCCCGACTAAATATATAACCCCCGCGATTCTATAATCTTAAAGAATACGCTTCGAAGACAGAAACTACTAAAAACATATTTCAAATGATTTAGATCTAATTTCACAATATCAATAATTATTATCTATAATCATATTTTTACGACGCCTTAGAAAACCCCACTTAACTATAGCCTCTAAGCTCAAAATAGAGATCATATTATAAATCTCTTTCAAATCTTTATCGATTCGAAACCTTATATCTTCTAAAATCTAAATTCAAAAACTAAAACTAGATTCAAAATCCGACGTTCATTCTATAGATAGAAGAGAGAATTACGAAATCTAAAGATCTATTTCTCTTAACTTATTTTCGAAATCTCTCCCTTAAGCTACGGACCGTATATGAAGTAATTATTGATATAATTTATTCTAAATATATTCAATTTAATTTAAATCAAGATGTCGCAAGAACGGCATCAACGAGAACGACAAGAAGTCTCCCCTTTACGTCTCGGAGCACGGAGGACCGACCACGACGCGCTACCTCCTTAGAAACAGCCGTCCCCAGTAAACGCATCGAAATTTACGAATAGGTATAAAAATTGGAATATATATATATATAATATGCAAAACGGGGGCACGTATTACGTTATAGAATTTTTGACTTATTTGTGAAGAGCTTTCGTATGAAACCTAGTCGCCTGCACCCTCCCACCATATAGCAGTAGCTCCAATATTCTCGCTTCCTTTACGCACACAGCAAGCCCCCCCTTACCAGACCTAAACAATAGGGGGGAGGCGTATGCGCCAGCCCATTTATATATATATATATATATAGATATAGATATATAAATAAAAAAATATATATATATTCGAAATAATATAGCATCCAAATAATCTTAGATCTAATATGGAATTAGTATTCGAAATCAAATTCTTATTTTTAATTAAACCAAAGAAAAATATAGAAAATAAATAAAATTTCAACAGAAATAATTTTATTTCAGAACTTCTAAAAAAAAAATCAGAAACAAATCATTAAAATAAAATTCCAAAAACGTAATTTTATTTCAAAAAGTTCCAGAAAAAATTAAAACCACGAGAAAAAATAAAACCACGAAATACATAATATAACTATAAAACAACAAAATCCCGTAAAATAATGAAATTCCGATATAAAAGAACTTTATTTCAGAAATTACCGAAAACGAAAATAAACATCATGAACAAATAAAAACCACAAAAAGCACACTGAAAAAAAAATGAAATAGAGAAATAAAAATTAAAGTGCCGAAAAAAAGAACTTTATTTCAGGAATTATAAAAAAAATGAAAATCAGGAAACAATCATCCAAGAAAAAAATTAAAGCTCCAAAAAAAAGAACTTTAATTTCGGAGGAGATAGTCTCATAGGCGAAACCGGTCCCCAACGTGAGGATTGCATACTTTGCTGCAAGTTTCACCTATGAGAAACGCGAGTTTCTCATTTTATGGAAGTTTTGGAATAAAATTCTTTTTGTTGCAATTTTATTTGATTTCTGTATTTTTTCTGTGGTTTATATTTTTCTGAATTTTATTTTTTTCGTTGTTTGATTTTAATGAGTTTCTATTTTATTATTTGGTTCCTGTATTTTCTTGTTTTGCAGAATTTTAATATTTTTTTCGATTTCACCAGAAATAGAAATGGAGTTCTGATTTCTTGGAAATTATTTTTTCAGATAATTTATTTTTTTCGTAAGAATTTTAAGAATTGTTTCTAGATTTCATCGGAAATATAGTGTGTTTGTTGAATTATTTTTTCGGTTATTTCATATTTTTATTGGGAATTTTAATTGTGGATTTTAATCTTTTCCAAGAGTTTATTTTTCTTCTATATTATGATTTGTTGTTTTATTTTTTAATTTTGATTTTTTCTACGGGTTTTGTATTTTAAGTGTTTCTGTATTTTATGTTTTTGAATTCCATATTTTATTTTAGAATTCGGTTTTGTGTTTCCTGGATTGTATTTTTTCTAGATTATATTTTTGTATTTGTAGTTTATTATTCCTTCCAGATTTGTGTTTGTTCTTTCTGTTTTTTTTTCTGAATTCTATTGTGTTTTATCGGCTTGTGTTTTTGTATGATTTTATGGTGAAATGTTATAGATTTTATTTTTGTTATTATATTTTTGTTGCCGATAAGTTACAAAGTTCCCTTGTAGCTTATATTATACCATGGGTCTGTGATCGTCATGTCAATGTGTAATTGTTATGTAGTTTCTAGGTTCATCGGTTTATTTGTAATCATTCTCTCTTATTATAATCTGCTCTTCTCGTGATCACTGTGGTTTGGTGCCGGCATAGTTCTCCAGTGTGTTTCGATTTCCTTACCGAACTAGACCTGTAATAACTTCGATTTATTTCTTGAGAACTGCCCGGACCGATCAGGGGTAAATGCACCTGTGTGCTACTTGCGTGCCCGATGTGCTCTTCACACAACCGAAACGCTTAAAACACTCTTCTTGAAAATACAACAATTTTTCCGAGGTTCCCTATTAAAAAACAGGGGTTGCGAAAATTACAACTCCCGACGATTCTCTTCTTTTTTTCCCACTTGAGGCTTCATGCACCAGATGGGAACAGGAGGCGCGTTCCTCACGAGGCATCGGCTTGCAGGCGATGATGCTTTGTCAACGGTTCTGCCATGTTCAAGACTGTGTTCTTACACGTTTCCAAGCAGCGCCTTGTGGTAGTTTCACCCGATCCGGGAAGTTCTTCTCGACGAACTCTCGCAGGCGTGACCTTCGGCGCTACACTACACAGCTCACGATTCAAGAATCACGCAATGTATCTGACGACCAGCATGCCACAGCTTCAACCGATTCTCCGGCGACTTCTGTGGACATGTGTCGGCGCGACGCCCGCAATCCACGAAGTCATTGCATGCTCAGGGTGCGGCCCTGAGATTTGATCCCCAGCATTCTCGTCGACATACCTGCGTGCAACGTCTGGGTGGAGTGAGGACGAAGTGATGCGTCTGGCCTGCGACTGCGACCGCGACGATGGTATATCACAAAACTTGAGTCCTAAAGGGAATAGAGAGGTGATGCACATGCTAGCAAAAAACACTGGTAGATTGTAGGCATGATGCGGATATTTGTGGACTGTATGATTGCACAACGTCTTGACTGATGCTCCTGTAGTAGGCTCCACTCCTACATCTCAAGAGATGTGTCTACCCGCAACCTGTCAGCATCTGGATGGCCGTTTTCCAAGAGCGTTGACTGGGGCCAGAATCCCAAAAGCTCTAAACTCAGGCCTGCGGGGACTGTATTGACCTCCGGCAGCTTTGGTCAGCAGCCTTTGAGCACTCTCCTTGATGTCAGTCGCATCCTCATCTCCAGATTGCAGACTTGCGCAGACTCCCTGACAATCCATACTATGCGATTGTCCCCCTTCCTCGTGCAGGCAAGCTTAGAACATTGAAACCAGTGCTTTTTGAGGCTGTGTGTTCCTAGCCCGGGCATTGCTGGCGAGCGACGCTGAAGAACTCACCTGAGCTGAGCATCACTCTGAGCAACTGCAGCTCAGCACTTTCTTGCCAGCTGTTCTCCCATCTGGACATACGAAACCCAAAGTCCATGATCACTGCGAAAATGCCTCAACTTTGCAGGCTGCGATCTGAGTCAATCAGTCGGGCGTCCGGTGGTCTCCGTTAGGTATTTCCAACCGCCTCGCGCAACTTTGATTTGGTCTCAGAGCTGACAGGCACAGTCATGGACAGTGGCTAGTGGCTGAGTCTGTCCAGCTGCAGAATACTGACACCCCGACAGGGCCGCCGTTACGAAATGGTGTTGAGGGGATTATTCTCGAATATTCAATCCAAGTCTAAGACTCGAAGTGTCCGCCCCGTTCGAACTGATGCACGTGCTGTCATGCTCTTCCAGCAGAGTCTAACATTATTCTGCAAACGTGGCAACGGTTGAAGCACATGATCTGCGATGTCCACCCCCAACTGGCTCCTATGATATGCACAGTACGCCAACTCAAATTTGAAGGCACAACTTGAATTTCACTGTGTCAATCCGCCTATGAGGTTCCTGTTCATCAGCAAAGGCCTCAGATCAATGCATGCTGGACAACCATGCATTCCCTGTTCGCTGCTCGTCCTGCTCGTATCAGCCGAGGCATGCTATGCGTGCGTGACACACAGACACACAAGCCTATCGCCTACGGTGTTCTCTTCAAAGCGCTCTGCGCCTCGTAGTCTTGCCTCTTCACTCTGACATCTTTCCTCATGGAACTTGTAGCATTGCAATTCAACCAACTGTTTGGCCAAGGCGCACATCCAGCGCCAGGGCCTGGGTGATGACTCGAGGAGATGCATCGTGTACTTGTGGTAGAAAAAGGAACCGACTCTGCTTCCTCAACAGGCGGCTGCAAATGCTCGAGTCATCCACACAAGAGGCTTGGCATGCTGCACACTGCCGGACGAGGGCCGTACTGGCAGAATTCAGACAGTGCATGTGAAAAAGGGTCCCACAGGCAAGGACCACAAAACACAAGCTCTGAGTCAAGCTTCACATATGCGAAGAACTCATCCTGGGACAAGAATGTCGTCTGCGTAATCAAACCTCAGCATGCTGAGAAAAGCTTTCAATGCACTTTTACTTCTCGTCATGTCATCGTCATGCTTCTGACATCCTCTAACTCTACCAAACTCAACACTATGCTGTCCTCAAGTTTGGACTGAAGGCTCCGAGAAGCCAAAGTCCCTCAGCCTTTCAGACATAGGCAACTGCTGTCCATGAAAAGAACTGCAGCATAGAGGCCCTTGCAGCTGGCGGGTATGCTGCAGGCTTTGGTGCCTGCCAGTAGGAGGGGTGCAAAGGGGATGCAAGATTCGTGCCCAAGGAAGCTGCAGTCAGCCAGAAACTGGCTGTGGCGGCGGCTGCTGCTGCTCTAGTTTCTGGCTTTTGCTTGGAATCGTCTCGGCAGAAAGACATGTTGCGTCTGAATCCATTGCAGCCTGGTGAATTAATCTCACCTGTTGAATGTCCTTGGCTTGGCCACATTGAAAAGCCTTTTGTGAAGCACCATGGCTGTCTGGTTTTCAGCAGGCGCTGACCTTTGCCGTGGCGGGGCTCGGGGGCTGCGGCCCTCTGCCACTCTACTCTTTGCTCTCTCCTTCTTCGCTGCTGTTCTTTCCATCCTACTAGTATGGGCACCTTGCCAATCACAACGACGACCGTCGGACAAAAGCAGAGGCCGTCGTCAATGTGTCAACCAAGTCGTCATTCGTGCACTCCAGACGGCTCATGTTCAAGTTCCGCACACCTTTATCAGACTCAATGGCTTAGGTCTCTAGCGAATGCACGGAGGGAGTGCAGCTAAGCCGATGTCACGAAGTCAACGAAAAGTTGTCACAACCGCAGGTAGGGCGACGGGCAATTATGAAGTATCTGATACGGATTCAAAACCTCCAAACAATTTAATTTCTTGACCGCTAGTAAGACTCTAGCAGCGAACGTCATGACTTATGAAGATGTGACGATCAAACTTTTTCGTGACGGTCAGCGAAATCTCGTGGTGCCATATTTAGGATTCAGGAGTTGCCGACAGGCGGAGACTCTGCATCCAGCAATGTCTCTCTTCTCCGGCACGACTTCTTTTGAGATGCCAGGAATAGGAAGAGGACCAGGCTCATAATGACAGTGTCTGAGCGAAAAAGAATTAAGCCACCATTCGGGAGATCCATTAGCCAGCCGCCGAGCACGGCTCCGAATGCAGAGCCGCAGGCTGTGATCGAAGACATGAAGCCTTGAGCCGTGGATATCATGTGCATGGGAACATGTTCGTTCAAGTAATGCACAGTAGCGAGGGTAAAGCAGCTGTAGGTGACACCGTGAAGCGGCTCGAGAAAGAGCAACCAAGCAGCCCCAGGGACAATGGTATATCCCAGCACACGCACAACAAAACTAGCCATGGCTATGGCAATGAGAACTGTTGGCCCCAGCTTCGGTACGATCTTCTCGCTGACTGCAAAAATGGGTATCTCGAAGAGAACGGTCACTGTGACGCTGAACCCCATCAGGATGTCGGTCGAGTGAAAACGCTCTTGCATGTACAGGAAGAGGAACTGGAACACATGCTGCATCCCCATGGCTTGTGTGGCTGCGCACAGAAGCCATGTAATCATTTCGGGCCTGGAATAGAGGATTTGTAAAAGTGCCCGCAGCGAGGCTTGCTGCCTGGGTTGGGGCTCGGAATCGCCTTGGCAGGTGCCGTCGGAGCGCTGGCTTGCAGCCTCATCGGTCCATCGACTTTGTAGAAGCAACGAGAAGCAGGCTACGGCTAACACTGCACTTAATGCATTGCCGATGAAGAGCATCTGCAGCTGGCCATGCTCCACGTCCAAAAGCCAGCCCAGGACTGGATGGGCGATGCCCCAGGAGACAGCTCCCCAGAGGCGAAGGTTGCCATAAGCTCCCTGACGATTGAACCTCTCCAGTGTTCTCATGGTGATTCCTCTCAGCTGGCCATAATCGTTGCCACGCGCAGCCGTGTAACAAACCATCATTGTGCAGCAATACATAAATCGATAAGTGTGGTCCTGAATGTAAGGAGCTAAGCACAGCAACGTTTGGAAGGTCATGGCCATGCCCAAGCAGCAAGCGAGGACGAGCTTCCTACGGCCGCTACGGTCCGCAACAAGGCCCCAAAAGGAGGAGGCAGGGATGCTTGCCAAAATGCTCAGAAGGCCAATCACCCCAATCTCGCGACCATCCAAGCCGTAATGTGTATAGATGAGGACCGCGAAGCGTGCAAAAAAACTGTAATACCTAAGCTTGTCGCCAATCAAATTCAAGGATACAATTTTTTGAGGTTTCTTTCCGAAACACATACTAGATGCTGAACTTCTGCAGTGCAGCTCAATCGCAAAAAGAGGCAGAAGAAACTTGCGGAAATGCCGAAAAACGCCGGTCGATGATCTTCTTGCGGCGGCACCACTTCGATGCCAGTCATTGCCATGCAAGCATGCAACCGCCTGAGAAGTAGTAAGCAGCAGTAAGCTGCCCGACAACACGATTAGACTCATCGGCTAAATTGCGCCATGAAGGCATGAGCTTCATTCATGCCTGACTCACTCGACATGCTTCGGCTCATGAAGGGCGGCTTTCATCTGCTCTCTCGTGAATACCGAGCCAAAAGGAGCTGCTGCAACAGGCAGAACAGGGCTTGTTTTGTAGCAGCTGCACACAAGCTACGGCTATTTGTGCCAAGCTCTCGCCCACAAGCACTCACTGCGCGGTTACTGCGACCACGCCTGTTCTTGTATGCAGGATGCTCGAGGCTGCTTCAGGAGTTCGACTGTTATTCATTCTCATTGTTCCAACGACCCCATGGAAGAAACATGTGGCTTGCCTGTGGCACCTGAAGACTGAAGAACCATGCCTAGCATCCTGCCTGGCTTATTCTTCGTGGCCACGAGGACACCAGTCATGCGCTCACCGCACATCACCTCTAACGCCTGGGTGGGTCTAGCAGTCTAGCAAACCACGTCGAGTGGTCCCAAGCGATTTTGAAGGCTCCTTTGCAAAGTGCACACAGTGCCAACCCGCCAAGCTTCGGACAGGACACAACACCAATATGACTTCCGAAGCTCTTCAATCCCTTGGCAAGATGTAAGAGCATTGTGCTCAAAAGTGCCTCTACCAGCCTTCGCACGAATCTCCCCGACTCTCAGAGGGCATCCTACAGTAATTTTCAGCTCGCTGCCTCAGCAATTACATCTCTCGTGTGTGGACTTTTGAAGGTACGCCTCCTTGGCAAAGGTCCAATTCTTGGCGAAGGAGGACCAGCCGACACAATCCTCACAACGAGCAAAATTGTGCGAAAGCCCCTTTCCAAAGGTTCAATGCGAAGATGCTTGCTGACTTCGACAATTAACTGTCCAAGTCAAGTTCAAGCTTCAACTGGAGCAGACCGACGGAGGGCACGATGGCAGCTTTCCCGCGTCATGAGACGCGCTCAGGCCCAGTCTGCAAATGTTTTCGGAAAATTTTAAGATGTTCGAAGGGCAAACAGGTTCTGCCCACTGCGACGGAACGTTGTGGGGTGGGTCGCAGGCCTGGTGCCTGGCGCTTCTCCGCGTTGTTTGTAGGGATACTGGCACTTTGCTGCAGCTCAGAGTTTTTCAACGCATGCCATGGCATGCTGCAACAAGAAGAGCCGGAACTACGTGGCAATTGCCGCGAACTGATGGCTTTTTTCCGGACGTACTGCTGTCATACTGGTCCAAGAAACATGTACTGCAACAGCCTGCAACAGAGTTATGTCATTGCGCCGGGGTTTCATGCATCTCGTAGTGTTAAACAGGAAGATTCGATAGCAAGGCACAGCGAACCGGACATCCCGAGAAGGCTCTCTTAGATTCCATGGATGATCCAGCAAAAAAAGCTCAAAAATACAAACCTCCGCGGAAGCTTCACGAACCTCAGCGGCGATTTCGCGGACTCACCAAGTGTCGGGCATCTAAGCTTCACACCGTCTCCGCACGATACGATTTCTGCAAGCCGTCTGAGTAAAGGCTGACTCCAACACTGAACACAGAAATGTGTGCTGTCCCTGCTGCGTAGCAGGACCGTCAACGACGCTCTTTGCAACACCGAGGGCCGGCAACGCGTTGATTTTGGCTTTGCGAGCAACTGCAAGAACAAGTCATGAATACGCCTATACCAGACTACGATGACAAACACATATAGGCAGATACCGAATGCGGTGTTCGCAGTTGTTGCTGGTATTACTATCGTTGGCTGTTGGTGGCGATGCTCGTGTTGTTGCCTTGCTGTGTTGTTTACGACAACAAATTCTTGATGTGTCTGTCAACGTTATCGCTCCAGTTATTCCTGCCATCCGCGTGATAATCCTGACCTTGGAAGCACAGTCCTGATCCACATCCTGGTCGGACCCCGAGAAAGTAAAGTCGTACTTCTTCGGGACGGCCTGGCCGGATCCCTCTCCTTTCTCTTCTCAGCACTTCGGGGCCTCTTGGCCAAGTTCCTCCTGGTTTGCAGCGGAGATGCGGACTACCGAGAGCCGCTGGATACTCGATAGACTCGTTGATACCCGTGCCCGGATGAATACATCACATTTCGGAACGTATAGGAGACTCTATGTCTCCAGTCATGCAAAGCTTAAGTACATACTGTGCCGTACATGAGGATGCACTAGAATCACTGGAAAAGCCTGCGAGTATCCGTGCCAATGTCCCGAAGACTCGGACACAACAAGAGGTGGCATGTCCCGAACTAGCAGATTCGAGACATGAGCGACATGCATAACCGTGGTACAGAACAACTCCTTACGATGCGAATCGGCACCCGCAGAATAGTTACTCGGTTGCAACAATTACTTGGTCGGAAAAATAACAGCAGGCCCGACATCCAGAAAGCTACGGAAGATTCCAATCGGTTCTCCTTCATTGCAAACCCCTGCAAGAGAAACGAAGCTAGATTCGGAGACCTGTTTATAGATTTTGCGTGTCGGCAGAGGTGCAGACCTTCGGGCACCGACAAGGGAAACTAATGAAAGCCTTGGGCACTGTCAGCTTCTAGGAACCTCTTACCACGCCCTAGCGAGCCCAACAGCCCTAAAAGCAACTCAAAAGCAAATGCATCATCTTCAAGTTCTAATTTTGTAAAGCGTGCACTGGCGTCTGCCTGGGCTGGACCAGGTAGAGCGAAGTCTGATTGTGACAGCAACAGGAGCTTGACATGGCTTGGGAAGAGCTTCTCCTGACTGGGCTGCACTGGAAGCTTCTGGCGACGTATCAAGGCGAAATGGGCCGAGGAAAGAGAAGCTCTAAAGGCTCTGCCTGCAAACAATCATCTGCCGAAGCTTCAGTCGGACATGCACTGTCACATACATGCTGCGCATGTGCTGTACACGCTTGGCTCCATAAGAGCTCTAAGATGCAACAAAAACAATGCAACAATAAATTGATGGAGAAATGGCTTAGTGGCATTTCATATTTGAAGTTGATGAGTTTGTAGACACGGCCGAATACACGCGCACACACCCACACCCACATCTCTTCCCTTCCTGTAGCTGAGCTCCTGCACCCTCAACTGCTCAAGCTCTTACTGCAGCATGTTTAAGTCGAAGGCATCCCTGCACACAGGAAATGTCGGAGGTCAAGTAGCTATGTAGCCGGATGTTGCAGATGTCCGACGACCTAGTCTGGTAGCCCAGTCGCCGGTTCCCGATGCATGTAGAGAAAGCCAGGAAACAGGCCCACAAACTTGTCTTTCCTCGCTGCCGACATGTTGCCGTGGAAGGTTCCCAAATGCGGAATGTGACATCGACTTCGTTTACTTGATTCGAAGTGGCTTGAAGAATGCGCGGCAACTCGTGCACAGTTTCTAACAGTTTCAACTCAGCACCCTGTATGCTGAATTTACACGACAAGCAACACACACGAACGAGACAAGTTCCACTTTTTGATTTAGCCTTTCCAATACCACCAGAAGCTTTTTAAGCACACACACCTTGAGTGACATGTGGGCAATATTCAGTAGCAGAACGAAATTAACGCGACCGAGCTGGAATGTATAGACAGAGATGTCTATTCTGAGTGAGGTGGATTGAGCCGTTAGGTCCGAAGGGATTGGATAACCTACAGCCTAGGATGTTTTCGCATCCAAGCACTTACCTTGCGAAGCTTTTCAAAGTGCTCCTGGAAACACGTGTATGGCATCGTCATGGCCTTTTTCCAAACGCGACGCAGAATGGAAGCTCAAGCTTCAAGGATGAATCGTTTTGCCTGGGTTGCAGGATATCGAAGGGCAGAACTATTGTGGTTGACGGTAGGGAAAATGCCTGTTGGACTAGGGGATGTGGCGCATCGGTGTCGTTAGTGCGAGGTCTCTATCGACAGCTCCAAGTGGCGCAAAGGACTCCGAGAAGGGGTTTGGTGCCGGCAGCGGGAAGTCCTGCAGTTCCCGACTCGTCTCGGCCTTGACTTGAATCGCAGTGTGATACCGCCCACCGTGCAGTGAAAGACCTGCAGAAACTAAAGAGGAACTGTGGCTTCCAAACATAGTTCTCTGGACGGTCAAACCGTTTGCCATTATGCGCCAGCCTGTCCTCCCAACTGCTGATGCCCATAAACAGAATCTCGTTCTTGAACTGCTGAAACAGCTTCCTTGGACACGGGAACCCTTGTATGAGACTTTAAATGAATTGTCACATGATGCCGCAGAAGAGGCATTGGAGGCACTCTGTAGGGCCAAGGGTGAGAGTTATGCAAGGAACAACTCCTAGGCACCAAAATTGTTTCTTGCACTGCTGCCCCATTTATGACTCTTCTGATCCAGGGTGCTCCTGCCGCTTGGTTCTGAAAGGCGAGCGAACGAGGATGATGTTTACCTTGCAAGTCATCAGTATGATGCACACAACGTTGGAGAACATCTTGCGACAAGCCATCCCGTGAATTCCAAACCACAAACCAGGACTCCCAAACGACCCACGGCTTCCGGCTTGCGACTCGCTTGGGAAAAAGCTTGGATCGCCTTGGTCGAACATCGTCTGGTTTGGGCCTTTCTGCCCACATGCACACCTCCGGAAAGTAAAACATCAACATACACCAGATTGTGGCAAAGCTGCAAAGTCTCCCCGCTCGTTGCGTACCGGCTGAAACGGATACCTTGCAACGTGGAACCGATGTATCCTGAAATACATCTGGGGATTCTGCATATGTTGGAAAGTCTATGGCGGAGAGAAGAAGCCGGGGATCAAGATGGGACCATGCGCTGCAGCGGGATTGACGTAATCCGTCTGAAGGCGTCAGATTGTAGAAGTGCGTATACAGCACAGAGACACTGAGATGTCGTTGGAGGTGTGCGAGTCACTGTTCTCAGCTGCCGTGAGACTAACGGTGTCAGACAGTGTAATGCGGCTAATGGCTCTGAAGAAGGTCCAGTCCCGAGCTTTCCCGACTTTTTTCCACGTCCCCCGAAAGCTAAGATAGCATCGGAAGCTCCCACGAAAATGTCCAGATTTCTACCAGCATTTCTCTTTCGTTGTCATCACTAGCCCCGGCTCAAGCACTTAAATTAAGACCCGCGGTCCATACGCCACGAAATGAAATGCACAACAGGTAGGATATATAATCACTTCCTCCGATTAGTACATAAACGCTCGCCAAATATAGAAAGTCCGAACAGGAGGTTGAGAGTACTAAAAAGACAGTACAATTATAGGGGTTATTCGGGAGACCTTAGGTATCCTTCGAAAGTACAGGGCTGGGTCTTCTAACTGTATCGAAGTGCGCTCTCGCTGGCTCACTTTCTCTCTTTTTCTTTCCTGAACATAGGGACCGGTCAAAGCCCCCGGGCTTCAAAGCCCACTCAACCACTGTTGCGGCTGAAGGGAATGCAGAACGAGTAGAGTTCATCTTCGGGCTACTCGGCGTTGGGGTTATACCACATCGTCGGTGAGAATACACATCAATGCCGGCAGACGCTGGTTTGGGGAGAATACACATCAGCCGGGAAATTACACATCAGAACTATAGCTAAACACCATGTAGACGCTGCAGAAGCACGCAGCAGATAGGCCAGAGTGCCGGATTTGTTGTGGAACCTGAGGTATATAGTACATCTGCAGGCATTTCACGATGAGAAATCAATGCGTTTGCCTTGTAGACGCTGTTGACTTTCCTCCTTGGCGTGTGCCCGGGAGATCCTCATCGTCCTTGTCAGCGGTAACTGACGTGCCCGGCACGACGCGGAAGGACTCGTGATTGAAGGTGAACGTGTTGTCCTTCTTGAAGACGCTGCGTTTGACAAAGCCCTGTCTTGCGATGTATGTCGGGAAATGGCCTTCGTCTCTCCGTCAACCTCGGCATCAATGACTGCAGGTCCTCCTTGCAAGCGGCCCGCAAAAACCAAAGTAGCGTAACCACGTTTTGTAATCCTGCTGGTGACCGTCACGTTGTCGAGGTCGAAACCGGTGGTGAGGAGGCCAGCAACAATGCCCTGCATCCATTCGCGTGGAGTGTCAGCCAGCAGCTACGGATCACTTCCCCGGGTTTGTGGATTACCCGCTCACCAATCTGATGACGTCCAACGATGGGGCCATACTGCGGCTCTGTAACGATGCACCTCTGGAGATAGGCGCCGTCTACCCATCGGGCTTGCCGCGCCAGTGAACGTGGTACTTCTTGTCATCCCTGCTGATGACAGTCTCCCAAAAGAGGCCGTCAATCCCGCTCTTCATCAGCATGTTGTTGTTGTTGAAGAGGACCGTGTCACCCTAGCGCGGACTGGCACGGAAAAGCCGCCACAGAAGGAACCACGTGTCCCAAGACTGGGTTCTCACCCCTCACTTCTCACAGGCGAGTCAGTAGTCCGAAGACTGGGCTCTCACCCCTCACTTCTCACATGCGGGTCAAGAACAACGTCCTCAGATCCGCGCACGCGGCGTCTCTCCGCCATATGCCGTTTAAGCAATTCATCGTAAGCCGCAGTGACCAGGTGTTGGTGCTTGAGGGCAGCGAAACTCCACTGGAATGCTTTCGCGCGCTGCAGCTTGAGCCCACTGATCCACTCATGAAAGCATCGCAGATGCCTAGAGCACTCCCCGTCAGCAGCAGCGTTCAGACTCCTAGCGGTACTGCTCGTGCACCAGTCGCGATCAAATCGCCATTCACTCAGCTTCCCATGTGACGGGACCCAGGCGATCTGAAGGAGAGGAAAGGCCTCACAGATAGCCGTATCGAACTCGGCGAGGCCCCGTCTGCCTTTTCCACAAGCCTTCAGGCCCAAGCATCGCTGCACTAAAGCTTGACAGTCACAAACGACACGGACAGCAGAGCCCTGAGCAGCAGTAGTGATAGCTCTTGCGACCACCAGCAAGGCATAGCGCTCCGCGGCAGCAGAAGTCTGCTCTCGCCCAGGAACCAACCCAGAAGCCAAGACGATGCCGTCGGCGACCACTGCCCACGTCGCCACCCGCCACGCAAGCATGCCCGGCACCATCAGGGCACCTCCATCAGTGGCCAGGAGAGGATGCTCGGTTTCAGCGATGTAGCGAGCAACTTTCTGCACGGCCTCGCCGTCGTAGGGAGCACCCGCAGGTTTCAGAGGCGCCACCACGCAGGCAGCGAGCAAGCGCTCTTCTTGTTCCGACTTGCGCTCCAACGGAGACGAAGTAGAACGGGCAATCGAAGCACAGGTGATGGCGCGACGGATTGGCCAACCCACACGAGCACACACAGTCCTTGCCCGCCTCCTTCAGCTTGAAGCCGTCAACCGCCGCCCCGCCTGCAGTGCGAAAGTGCCTGAAGGTGGGTCCTCTGCCAAAGTTTCTGTGAGCCTTGAAGTCGTAGTAGGTGTGATCCGGAAGTGGCAGAGCAGTTTTAGTGTCGTTAAGCCACAGAACCTGCTCGTAGGCCTCCTTGATCTCAGCGGTAAAACCAGGGCCGGACATCTCAGCAGCAGTGAAAGAGCCAGTACGCGTGAACCACTTCGAACCCTCAAGCCTCCAGCCGAGAACCTGGAGGGCCCGGTCCACTGCACGGCCACGCGGTAACAAAGGCTCGTAGCAGAGCCGTCGCCATTCCATTCGAAGCACCGTGAGGACCATGACAAACTCAGGGTGGATGTCGTAGTGCGCGATGTGCCAGAAAAGCATGGAAGATCTGCCTCCCGGTGTTGGTCTCCCCCAAACTGTGGTCTCAACGATGCTGGTCCAGGTACTGAAAGTGGCCTTGCTGAGCCGCATCCACCCCACCAAGTGGCGAAACTTGGCCACTACCATGATGGCGACCAGTCTGCACCTTGAACGAACTCCGCGACAGAGCAAGCGAATGCGACGTCCCCTCTCCTTGAGCTCCTCAGTGAGCTTGGCCTCGTGGAAGACGTGGCCACCGGCGGTCCTGTAGCGCACGCCAAGGAACATGAACTCAGTCTGAGGGATGCCCAGGTCGTCGGCGAACTCAAGGAGCTCGTCTCTAGTGGCCTGGTCTCCTCCAAAACTCTCACTCTTTCCAGGGTGCAGGGAGAGTCCCAAAGCACGATCCACTGCCCTGCCCGCTTGGTGGGCCTTAAGGAGGTCTGCGACAGGATCGCGGCTGCGGGCAAGCAACATGCGGTCGCCAAGAAAGACTTGGACCTGAACAGACGGTGCTGCGGCCGTCACCCGAGAAGTCCACAACGCCATGCAGAGGTTGGCCAACACCGGACTCCAAGGACAGCCCTGAAGAAGTGAGCCTGTATGGAGCTCCTCGCTGTGAAAGTGGCCTTGGACAGCGACCCACCTCTGTTGACTACTGTAAAACATGCGCAAAATCTGGATGACCTCCTTGGGCGCGTTGCAGTGCTCGAAGACTCTGATTGCAATCTCAGGGCTCAAAGTGTCAAAGAACTTGCGCACGTCAGCTTTGCAGCCGGCAAGACGAGCCGCCGCGGAGGACTTCGAGTCCAGCTCGGCAGAAAGAACAGCGTGTGCCTTGTCAGCGGAGCGGCCGGGGACACCACCCAAAAGCTGCGGAGGAAGCCAACCAGAAAACCATGCTCTCATCTGCTTCAGGAGACAGGAAGAGCCAAGTCTCCAAGCCAAACTGGCCAAAGCTAAGGGTCTGTAGTCGCCGCCATCTTTAGGAAGGGCAGCGACGCGAACAGAAGACCACGCAGCTGGCAAGGTGGCGCCAGCCAGCACAGCATTCCAGACCTCAGCAAGGCGGTCAAACCACTGCTCAGGCAAAGCCGCCCAATGGCTGCCCTGCCACCCATCAGCACCACCAGCGCGCCGTCGAGAAGCCCTGGCCTTGCGATAGAGCGCGTGCCCGGTAAGAGAGAGGGCACCTTGAGGGCCAGCAGGCGCCCGAAACTCACACAGCAACTGCTCCAGAGCTGCCACAGAAGGTCGCTTTGCAGGGTCCCAAAGCGAGTTGAGAGTCGCAGCCAAGCGCTCCGCCTGACACTGCGGGTCAGGGTCCTTAGCAAAGTCGTCGAGCTCAATGCGGTGATCCTCGATTCTCTGCGAAATCCAGCGCGCCATGCGAGGGATGTCCTCCTGAATCTCATCTTTCCACTTGGCAATCCGGGCCGCCTTCGCTCGAGCAGCCTCCTGGTTGGCGAGGCTAGTGAGCGTGGCGGCAATTTCAGCCCAGGACTGGCCCGCACAGGCTTCTTGAGCAACTTGAGGCCACGAAGCCCTGGAAACCTCCAACTTGGTCATAAGAACGGCGTTGGGAAAGCGCGTGAACTCGTAGACCCGCCTAGCAAGGCGCCGAAGTTGACGTTCCAGTAAATTCTCAAAACTCGGCAGTTTGAGCCTGGTAGGCTGCTCCCTAACAGGTTGGCCTGGAAGACCTCGAGGTGGAGCGGAGCGGGCCCCTTCAGCACGCAGGGCCTCTTCAGCAGAGGCAGACAACGTACGCCAAGCCTTCTCAATGTCACCTTCGAAACTTGGGCCAAACATCATGCCAAGTGTCACCACGACCTATAGGTCCAAACCCATCCTTGGCTGCCATCTCCAGCGCGTGGTCGGCGGACCCTGTGGCAAGTCGTAGGCCACCAGATCATGATCAGCAACAGGAGGGCCTTGGTATCTGCGGCCAATCTGCACGCGCGGAGAAGCGATGCCATAATCCAGATGGACACCCGTGAGCTCCCCATCAGCGTTGCGATGTGTGCCGTT